AAAATGATTTAAAAAGCAGATTTGTGTTCTTGTGTTTAAAATATACACTTAAGTATAGTTGTCATAATAATATGAGACAGAACAACTATAACAGTTGCAGATCTTGATTGATTTTGTGGTTTTAAAAATATGTTACGCTGAGCAATTAGGCTACATTTCAGTTCTTGCAATTTTTGCTTTCTCTCGTTGGAATTAAGCGGATAATCATTTTCGTACTTGCCAGGCATTGTGTTGAAATACATCTCTAAATTTCCTTTCTTTGGCATTGCAACAGAAGTATTGCAAATTAAACATAAACATTAATTACCATTCACCATAGTAAAGAAGTAGTCTGTTTCCCACTTTTCGTTAAAGTGATATGTTTTGGCTCTTTTGCTCATGTTGATACGATTGTATTAGAAAATAATTCTATATGCGCACTTTATTCATACAATTCACACACACGATACACGAGTCACGAATGCGATGCTACGAACAACTTACTGATCATAGAATTAAACTAAAATGTGTTATAACTTGAAGCACAATGCTAGAATAAGATAATATTAATTTATACTACAGTCCATTCCACGAGAGAATAATCACTTTTCGCGCATCACAAATGACGGCTTCAGCGACGCCAGACCACAATTTCTCCCTCCAAGCGTCGACGACGACGGCCGAGGCCGGCCTAGTGACAAACCGAAACCCCACTTTCAAAGTTTACGCGCGCAGCGCGCATACGACAATAAAACAATACACTGTTGGCAGCATAGTGGCATAGTCATTAGTCGCTCAACGCGCAAATACTGTGCGGTTGTACTGTACATCTTTATTTTGTACAAAGTGGAACAACATAATATGTACAAATTTTATATACATATATACACAACACWATCTATTATATACAACAATTCAAATAAAAATAATGTATAATAATTAATTAATACAATTTAGTCTGTATCTGATAGATATCTGAAGTCTTCATCATCGTCGTCCGAGTCATCATCCGTGTCGCTTTGGCCAATAGTAAGAACACAAGGCTGATTTTCTGCTGACATGAGATCTTCGACCACATTATCCAAACTCCATGMTYTTTCTTCCTCCTTTATCACATGACCGACAAAATTTTTCCACATATCAGGGCTAACTTTATTCACTCCTTCAATTAAYAAGTGTTTTATATCTTGTAATTTAAAAGTTTTGTTGTTATCTTTGACATGTTTCTTAATTATAGCCCATGCGAGTTCAATTGCATTAAGCTCACAGTGATACGGAGGAAGTCTWAGGACAATTTTATTGTTAGCTTTTACCATTTCATCGATGACATAATTGTTATATAATGGTTTCAATTTTTTAACTTGGTCCAACAATTCTACGACAAGCATTGTGTTGTCGACTTGCTCTCCTTTGCTCTGGAGCCATGCAATTATGTCAGCTTTTCTCCAATTCGTAGTTGGGCATTTTTCAATTTTCACCGAATAATAAGGAGCGTCCATTACGATGACAGCGTTGTCTTTGAGTTTCGGCAAAACACCTTCCAACCAATCACGAAAAGAGTCCCCGTTCATCTCATCGTGATAGTCTTGGGTGTTTTTCTTTGACTCAAAGCACAAAAGACCTCCGGGAACAAATCCATCTTCGGAACCGATGTGGCTAACAATTAAACGTTTCCCCTTGGCCCTTGCCAGTAGGGTTTATTGCTCCAGTCGAAAGTCCCTCGGAAGATGCCACTCGAGCTGACGTTACAGTTTTGTCGACCCATACTTTACTATTAACATCTCCRGCGTTTACCCACGTTTCATCTAKATAGTAAATTGGCCTTCCTTCTTMTCTGTATCTTTTAATATCTTTTAAATATCTTCTCCGCCAAATTATRATTTCAGATTTTTCAATCAAACCACTATTACGAYCTCGCTTCATATATACGAAATCCATAGATTTCAACAATCTGAATAATGATGTTCGAGAAAAATTTGGTAGACCATTATCTTCATTTACGGACACAAGAATCTTGTCTAACGTAGGCGTATCACGATCGTGCCAAAATTGATGCACTTTTCTTCTGATACCATACTTGTCAAAATCATCTTTTTCAGTAATGGCAAAGATTTAATATTTCTTGAACGCATCAAATCAAAATGTCTAAGGTGAAGATTTGGTAGAAGATACGATTTATTATTTCTTTGCCTTTTTGATTTCCTATTCCAACTTTCACAAGCTAAAACTTCTTCGTCTAAATTTTTAGTAGGTTCTCCTAGGCACGAAAAATCCACTAGACTCTCTTCGGAGTCGTTTTCATAATTATTTGAACACAAAGATAKAGCATGTACAGGCATTTTATCTTTGACACATTGGTCAGCAACAATATCAATTGCTAGAAGATCTGTAAAATAATGGAAAAATTGTTAGTATATTCTACTAATATTGTAATATTTAGTATTTAATACAGCAGGTTTAATTTCTATAAAATAACTATGTCTTTTTCCAGAAATAAAAGTAATATACAATTTTATAGTTCTTAGAAAGTTTTATACATTATAATATAACAACTAAGCACTTTTATACAAAATAATTCTAATACTTTTAAAAACATATTCAATAAAATCGACAAGTATCTACATTGAGGTACATAATATTAACCCTTTTACCAACCCTTTTAAAGATAATATATAATTTTCGATGAAAGTTTCAACGCTGGTCGGTTAAGGGATATTTTTKAACGTCACACACTTTAATTTTTTAAAACTAGACTCGACCACTGCAGACAATGCCATTTCTTTGCCGTATCCAAATATAGGAATCATTACTCCCGACCTTAATGGAAGAAGCTTAAAAGTTTTAATTATGATAGGAACCAATGAACGACAGAAGAAAGGGTTAATGTCATTTCCTTCTTCAATTAGGGATTCGCTTTCGCAATATATAGTATTAGCCCATGTATAGTATTAGCTTGAAATGGATTATCAAAATGTTCCAATCCCTAATTCTGTCTATCATATTTTTGTTCTAAACAAACGTGTGCTTCATCTTCATCTGTAGCACAAGTTATTACATGGTTAAATTGTTCCTGAAACTCTTAAAAAACATTAAAACAATAGTTATTGAAAGTTTATGACAAGCAATACAATGAGTTATTATAGCATTAATAAGTGTTCAATTTTTGTTATTTTCATAAAATTAAATAAAAATATCTTTATTTTTAATTTAAAAAACCATTATTACATATTTTTAAACTGTTATGTAACTGTATAACTAGGTAATTAAAAATAATTGTATTGCAGAGGTAATGATTTTATCAAACAAAGATTATGAGTTTTTTTTAAAATTAATTTTGTATATTTAACTAGTGGATATAATTATTAAGGAATTAATTGTATACAGGCAATCTTTACAAAATGAAAAGAAAAGTTAAAACTGGACAAATTATTGATAGCAGATATATATTTATTCATTTATAGGTACTATTTATATTCTAAAAAAGTGGTATTATACAAATTATCAACAATTAAAGACTATCATAAAAAAAATAGTTCGAATACTATATAGTAAATTTCGGGATTGGTAAATTGGGTCCCATATGACCTTATCTCGGTAAATTGGGTCCCGGAAAAAAAAAAGGTAGTAGGTAAGTTGAGTCCCGGATAAAAAAAGGTTGTAGGTAAGTTGAGTACCGGAAAAAAATATATAAATTAAAATATATGTGGTTTTTATAATATTATGTTCTAAATAAATAATATATGGTATAAATGATT